AGCTGTGGTCAATGACATGAGACAAAGTATATGTGAACTGCTGTATGGAAAGTGAATTTGCTCTGTAAATCTTCACCCAAATAAAAACAAATAAATTATAAAATAAATAAATAAATAGATAGATGAATAAATAAATGAGTAAATAAGGTTTAACATCAGCACTTTACAGAAAGAAAAAAAATTCTTTTAGTTTCAGTAGTGGATCATTTAATGTCATTATTTTTTTTTTTTTTTTTAATTTCTACCCTCCCTACTTAAAAGAATGGAAGGGAAGGGTTGACAATAGATTGGCCTTTGTCTGTGATCATGGTTTTATTAGATTTGTATATTTATTTTGTTACAACATGGAAGAAAAAGGAACTAGATGCTTGGTAGAGATTCCCTAAAACAGAAGGGAACTTAACTGTAAACGGATAGCAAGGTAGGTATTGATAGAATAAGGAGCCCTGGTGACTCCTTAAATGCTCATCTATTAACAAAAAGATTGGTGATTCAAACCTGCCCGGTGGTTTCACAAAAGAAAGACCTAGTAATCTGTTCTTGTGAAGACTGTTATTGTTGTGAGGTGCTATCAGATTCACTTGGATTCATAGTGACCCAGTATTACAGAGTAGGACTGTCCCATAGTTTTCTAGGCTGTAATCTTTAAAGGGGCACGTTGCCACATCTCTCTCCTGTGGAGCTGCTGAGTAGGTTTGAACTGCCAACCTAGAAAGCCCTGTGGGACAGTTTTACTCTGTCACGTGGGGTCACTGTAAGTCCCAATTGGCTCCATGACACCTAACAGCAATAACAAAAGGAATTGTTAGAATGGCCTTCTATGTGAGCATTTGTAATAAAAGGATTCTTTTGTTTTGTGTGAGGTTGGTGGAAAGCCATAAAGAAACAGGAGAGAGTGAAATCAAATGAATGTGGACTTGGTATATAACCCTTGTAACAAGATGTCTGAAACAAGTTATGGCCAAAAAGAATCTTTCTTGATTGATTTGCCCACAAATACCCTAAGAATCTGTAGCACTGAATATAAACTCTTCTGAGACTCATAAACATAGCCAAGTACCCTGTGTTTGTGTAGGGTTTCACTGTGCAAAGCACTTTCACATCAATTTTATCCTTAAATAATCCTCTGAGTGGAGGTAGAGCAATTATTTCACCCCTTATTTTCCTAGATGAGACACTAAGGTAAGGCCCATGTTGTTGTTGTTATGTGCCGTCAAGTTGGACCCAACTCATAGTGACCCTTCCTTGGGTTTCTGAGGCTGTGTCACTACAGAAGTAGATTGCCCAACCTTCCTTCCGAGGAGTGGCTGGTGGGTTTGAACCACCAGCCTCCTGGTTAGCAGTCAAGTGCCTTAGGTACTAGGCCACCAGAGCTCCCAGGCAAGGCCCCTAGGTGGCACAAATGATTTCTCCTCATCAACTAACCTCAAGTTGGTGGCTGAAACCCTTTTAGTGGCACCATTGAAGAAAGTCCTGGGGATCTGCTCTCATAAAGATTATAGCCAAGCAAACTCAATGGAACAGTTCTACTCTGTGACGCATGGGATTGCAATGAATCAGCATTGATTTGATGACAATGGGTTTTTATTTTTTTCATTAAACTAAGAGGAGGTCTGGTAGCATAGTGCCTAAGGCACTTGACTGCTAACCAGAAGGCTGGCGGTTCAAACCCACCAGCCACTCCTAGGAAGGAAGGTTGGGCAATCCTACTTCCGTAGTGATACTGCCTCGGAAACTCAAGGAGGGGTCGCTATGAATCAGGGCCGGCTCGACGGCAAATAACAACAACAACAAAGTATGAAGTGGGTGTAGCAGCTTGTATTAAGTCACCTGATTTGTTAATAAACTTGAGCTTATGCCCAGTGCTCCTAATTTCCAATCTAGTATCTTTTCCATTACTTTTGGCTTTATTTATTTATTTATTTTGAAGAGTTTGTTTTACATTCAACATAACACGTACATTTAGTTTCATTCCTCATTTACCATGTCCAACCCTAACCCAGTCTCCTCCCCTCCCTACCCTGTAACCCTCTCCCTGTGCCCCTCATATGTATGCACCCCTGTTTGTCCTGTATTTCCTCAATTTGAATGTTGGTCTTCTGGTGTCCCATAGTCTGTTGCTGTAAGGGATGTATTACCATAGAGTATGTGGGTGCGTCGTCCTGGGTTGAGTGGTCTATGTGTACATCTTGTTAACTATTGGGCTGAAAGCCCACCCCTTGGGGTTGAGTTTTATTCCAGGCACAGAATGTATTCCAGGGCTATAGTGTTGGGAGTCTCGCCAGATTTCATCTGACCAGTAATTCTGGTCATTATTGAGTTTTTGGATTTTGTTCCATGTTTTCCCTCCCACTCTATCCAGGATCTCCAAAATTGATCCTTTCCTGAATGGTTGGCATTGGTAGCTGGGCACCATCTAGTTCTTCTGGTCTCAAGGGCCAGCGTGTCCTAGGGCTGATTGCTTCTAAATGCCCTTGGTTTGTGTGTATGTGTGTGTGTTCTTCTTCACTTCTGATGCTAGGAGACCATTAGCTGCATCTTAGATGGCCGCTTGAAAGCTTTTAAGACCCCAGTCACTACCCACCAATGTAGGATGGGGAACAAGGCTTTTATGTATTTCGTTGTGCCAATTGAGTCTGGTGACCCCCAGTACTGTGGTCCTGAGACAGTAGATCAATTGGATCTCTCTCCCATAGTGTCTGGTTGTCTGTGAGGGATTACTCTGTGTCTGTCTTCTATTGTTTCTGTAAGGACTGCAGGTATTTTGTATCACTGGTGTCTGTGCAAGATTAGTCTCACTGAATCTATCCTTGGTCTAGAGTATATTTTTGTTCACTGACCACCATCTGATCATCTCAGGTGTTTATGTGTTTATCTGTAGCCTAGTGTTTGGTGTTAATGGCAATGCGGTATTGTGGACACATTGGTTGGTATTAGCATCTGTTGTCTATCTGTTATGTGCACAATTTGGTATTCTCCCATTTCTTAATGTTATCATGGTGGTCATAGATCCTTCCCGTATATCCCTCCCCCTACCCACGACAGCATGTAGGCCCCAACTAGCCTGAAATTAATCCCTCCCTTTCCCTCCTCATCCCGGTAACCTACTAAGTGAGTTCCCTTTCCTAAGCAAACCCTTCTTTGCCTTTTTACATTAATGGGCTCATACAGTACTTGTGTTTCTGTGACTGATTTATTTCACTCAGCATAATGTCCTCCAGGTTCATCTACATTGTGAGATGATTTGTGTATCCCTTAGCTTTATTTTTGACACAGCCACCAACTGCTCTGGTGATTATATCGTTTGTCCATTGCTTTGGTATTAATTAATAACACAAGATAGTGGCTCAAGACAGATTTATTCTAATACAGCCTTTGGAAAATGACTAATCCTTCCCAGGGAGAAATGCTCTTGAAGGAATGGGTCACCAAGATTGGCTTGGACTTGGGACCAAAAGTTGGACCCCAAAGATGTGATAGATGTGTTGATAGATCCAGGTGTTGTAATGTTTTAAAGAGAAAATATTGATAATAATTGAGTTCCATTTTAGAACACTTAAATATTGATCTTACAGACTTGTTAAAAGTTAACAACATTGAATATATTCCAGTTGGCAATATTGTGGACAGTCAACAGAATTTACTAAATCAGAGGAAAACATGCCTGAAGGCTGATGATGCTACCAAAAATTCTGAATGACAAAAAGATAGTGAAGAACATAGCTTATTTACTCATTTCAGACATTCAAATATCCTACAGTTTATAAGAAAATTACATTATAGCAGTGGATTGTTAGCATTAATTTGTTGAAAAATGAAATGTGGACAGTAATTAAAATGGATCCAACTAAAAAGAAGAAGCATCAAAGGGTTAAAATTCAGAGCCAAAAATTACTCAGATCAGAGCCAAGGATGCCCTAGATAGGACTTCATGTTATACTGAACAAGTACTAGGCTGCTACCTAAAAGGTTGGTGGTTCAAACCTATCCAAATCTCTGCAGGAGAAAGACCTGACCATCTATTTCCATAAAGATTACAGCATAAGAAACCCTATAAGACAGTTCTACTCTGTCACACAGGGTTGCTATCAGCCAAAAATCACCTTGGCAGCACTTAACAACAATAGTCTATTAGGGTTATTAGAAAGTACCAGAAAAAGTATTTCTTCTAAACAACCTGAAATTACTGATTATATTCCATGAATGTATATGTACATCTTCTCTTAAAGGTGTTTACTTAGCTTTCAGATGATTTCATTATTAACTGACTATTTAAATTAACCAACCATAGATCCCAGTTGCACTGGATAAAGAGGTGGTAGCCATAGGAGTCCAGTCTTTGCTTGTATCTGTCAAAGAATAGAAAAGTAAACCCAGGTCATAATCCACAGGAGGACTTCTCACTGTCTCTCTTCTTTCTTCTCACTCCTCTAGATTTCCCTTATCTGTCCTCTGTCTTCCCTCTCTCTGCCTCTTTCCTTCTGCCCCAGTTACTTAATTTTTCATTTTTCTCAGACTATATTTGGAGTTTTCCCCAACTCATTGCATGGCCCTACCTACTCTGGCCTGGGAAGAAGGAAGCCTGGGATGGCATGGGCCCTACTCTTTGCTTTGGGAGTCCCAGAGAGGGAAGAAGGAGAATGATATTCTTACGGTGATCATCCTTATCTCTTATGGTCTGTGGAGCACAGGCCTCACACCTGGTCCTTAAGGGCATCATCTGTGTATCTCCAACTCCAAATCCTAAGGTTATTTAACTATGTTCCTATTGCACCTCGGCACAAAGTTTGGATGATTCCAAAGTCAAAGATTGTCACTAGGAAGAAGCTAAGCCAGCTTATCCCTTAGCCCTGAGCAAAACTGTTTTCAAACCAAGCCAGAAAGAGCTATCCATAACATTTTCTAAAGATAAAAATTGCCAGAAGCTCTTAGAAGAGAATATAACTATTCTTCTTTCACCTGACATGTGAAAAATAACTTTAGGAAATCTCTCTTGGCAGGACATTATTTCAGAAATTACAGCAAGTTACATTCGTGAGAAGATATGGTCTGCTTCAGAAGACTTGATCCTTCGGTTTAAAGCAACAAATTCAGGACACCTCCTTAGTGAAGAGTTTGAAGCTAGGAAATCATTTTTGTATGATCAAGAAGCATCTGTCATCAAAATACAGGTATGTGAATCATCTCCCCCTTGTTACAGCAAACTGTCATATCCCTTGAAAACGTTTTGTTTGATAATAGAATAGGACAATCAACTACACTAAAACCTATAAAAGCCAGAACCTCTGCATGGGGGAAACCTGTCAGAGAAGGAAAACTCAAATATTTTCCACTGAACCAAATGATAGAAAAGTGGTAAGACTGCACCCTGTCAAAGAAGGAAAACTTGTGAGACTAAGAAAAACAAGGCAGTCCATCTAGGTCCAGTGCTGGCTCTCACAGGTTTCACTGTATTAGCATTCTAATAAACAACCCTGATTTCAGATTTTTACCTAATCATTACTCCCTAGTCTACTTCATTGAGGCTGTGTGGTGGGAAGGATCGTCATGTTGAATGACTTTTAACCTGTGACCTTCAGGGGCATTATGGACTTGTACAGATACGTTTGTCACCAACCCAGATGAAGCCAGATAAACCCCTCAAAGTTGAAATCATGTTTCCCTAAAAAACTGGATCTCCATGTGTCTCCTACTGTCTGAGCCAGGTACTTTATAATTCAGTGCAGTTTCTCCTTGCTTAGTGACTACTAACCGGAAGGTTGGCAGTTCAGTCATACCAACCACTCCTGAGAAGGAAGATTGGGCAATCTACTGCCGTAGTGATACCACCTCAGAAACCCAAGGAGGGAGGGGTTGTCATGAGTCGAATCTACTTGATGGCAGTGAGTTTGGGTTTTTTAGTGGATTTTGAGTGCTGTCTGAGTTTCTGTGCTTTTCTAGCCAGAAGGAACAGACCTACCAAACCAAACTCACTGCTGTCGAGTTGACTCTGACTCCTGGCGGCCCCCATTAGGTTTCCAGGGCTGTAAATCTTTGTGGAAGCAGACAGCTACATCTTTCTTCTGTGGAGTGACTGGTGGGTTCAAACCACCAAGCTTTTGGTTAGCAGCCAAATGGCGTAACCACTCTACTGCCAGAGCTCTTTAGAAAGAACAGATGAGCTAATGTCATAAAATAAATTTAACGTCTCCAAGAGTCTTCTCTCTTATATAATCTATGGTTCTTCACTTAGGCCTGTGAGAAATCCAAGTTCCAATTTTTTTTTTAAGTTGTTTAGCTTGTGTGACTTGTCTGAGCTTTCTTTTTTCCCTTCTCCCTCAGCAGAGGTAGCAGGACTAAAGAAGTAGCCATTGAACTATGAAATTGCCCCCACCATATCTTTTTTGTACTCATTTGGAAATTTTTTAACAAGGAAGTCATGAGGTCTAAAGGCAAGTATGCACCACAAATGTAGGCGAGCAATGAAAGTACAGTCACGAGAAACATGCTGACTCCCAAAACCAAAAGACTATGAATGGGGCAATCTACTTCCATAGTGATACTGCCTAGGAAACCCAAGGAGGGGTCGCTACGAGTCAGGGCTGACTCGATGGCACGTAACAACAACAACAACATGAACCAAAGGTACCATACTAATCTGATTTCTCACCAAAGTAGTGGCTCCCCTCCATAGCACAACTCAAGTTTCTTACATGGCTAAATCAACCCCAGGCACGGCAGTCTTAATAAATTCAGAGAGAAATACAGAGACAAAGCTCCCAGGTTGAGGCCAATCACAACCCAGATTCACTACCTTCACTACCTCCCACCCCAGTCTCTTGCAAGTGCTGAATAGTGTTATAGAGACATATGTAATGAACATCCAACCCTCTCCGTAAGGCTCTCTTGTCAGATAGAGACTGGTGGAACCCCTGAGACTATGGCCCTTAGTCACCCTTCAAGCCTGGAACTGAACTTACCTCCATACCAGACTCACCTCCTTTCAGCCAAATACTATACAGGTCTGTAAGGTGAACATTAACACCAGGGAGGTGTGTATTACGTAGAACCATCAACCATTTGAGATCAAAAGGGCAACATTTTTCCAGGGATAAAGTTCAGAAGGTAGAAAGGGATAGGAAAGAAAGATGAATGGAAGTAGGAAACATAGGGAGGAAGTAAGTTGAGTGCTCCTACATTGTGGGGATTGCAATCAATGACATGAAACAAAATGTGCAGGAATTGCTGAATGGAAACTGATTTGCTTGGTAAACTTTCACCCAAATCTCAATAAAAAGTTAAAAAAAAAAAAAAAAAAAAAACCAACCCCCTACTCAAGTGCTTATGAAGATGCCCAAGTAATCCAGGAGAAAAGTCAGAGAAAAGCTATTTGGCCACATTATTTTTGAACAAATAAAAGACCCTGATACCTTGACAGAATTGCTTAAATTTAAGAATGAATGAGCCAGAAGTAAATCTTACAAAATTTATATCCAAAAAAGAAGAAGGAATAACTTTTAAAATATAAATGAAGTAAACATTTCAGGATCCTTTTATACCAGGAGATAGAAGAAAATTTTATACTGAAACTGCTTTGTGCTGTCAAATTAGTAAAACATGGACTTAATGAGACATGGTAAGACAACAGAATAAAATGAAAAGACTAAGGAAGGGAAGAGAAATAATGACATCATAGAATGTAAATTAATTTGAAACTGGAATGCAGAATAGACACTAAAATAATTGAAAAGGACTTGAGAAAAACCATACATTTTTTTCCCATAAAAATTCTAGTACCCATTTTATTGCAGAGTTGTGAGGATTAAATGGGATAATTCTAGTAATAGAGCTATCCTTGTATGGGGCTCAATGAATGTTAGAAATGATGAAGTGATAGAGTTGATGACTTGTTTGTTGTTGTTAGGTGCCGTCGAGTGGAACCTGACTCATAGCGACCCATCCTTGAGTTTCCGAGGTGGTACCACCACGGAAGTAGATTGCCCAACCTTCCTTCCCAGGAGTAGCTGGTGGGTTTGAACCACCAGCCCTCTGGTTAACAATCAAGTTAATGACTTAGAGCACAGATAATGGGGATCCCATATAGAATTTATTGATATGATAATCATAGCACATGGGAAGAGATTAGAAACAAGATGGGGGAAAGAATGTCAACAGTAGAAAAAGTTTTTCTTGTACTAAATAAAACTGGAACACTACTTTTTAGAGAAAAAACATTACAGTGCCTGTCTTGGTTATCTAGTGCTACTATGACAGAAATACTAGAAATAGGTGGCTTTAACAAACAAATTTGTTTTCTCACAGAGTAGGAGACTAGAAGTCTGAATCCGGGGTGCTGGCTCTCGGGGAAGGCTTTTTCTCTGTCAGTTTTCTGGAGGGAGGTGTTTGTCCCTTCTGAGCTTCTACTTCTGGAGGATCTTCATGTCCCTTGGCATCTCCCCATCTCTGCTTCTTAGCTTGCTTGTTTGATTCTCCTTTATATCTCAAAGGAGAATGACTCAAGATGCACCCTACACTAATCCTACCTCATTAGCATAACACAGACAGCCCATTCCCAAATGGGATTATAACCACAGGCATGGAGGTTAGGATTGATAACACATATTGTGGAGGGACACAGTTCAATCCATAACAGTGACAGACATCAAAATAGTCCTGGGAATTACTGAATTCACTGAACTTAAGGTCAGAGAGTACTACCACAAGCATCCAGGCAAAAAGACAAGCTTCTCTGCAGCAAGGTTGGGTTACCAGGCACAATGGCAGAGTCTATGGGCTGGGAGGAAGGAGGTGATAGTCACTCATCCCATTGTTTTGATGGAGCTGCCACTTGTATTGTAGCAGTCCTAGTGGTCCAATGGTTAAGTACTCAGTTGCCAACTAAATGGTTGGTGGTTCAAACCCACCAGCAGTTCTGTAGGAGAAAAGAGCTGGCAATCTGCTCCTGTAAGATTCCAGCCTAGGAAACCCTACTCAGCAGGATCATTGTGAGTCTGAGTTGACTCAGGGACACACAACAATATTGACTCCCTGTTACTTTTAAATAGGGAGGGAGAAGAAGTAAATACATAGGGCTTTTTGGGAGGGTAACAAAAATCATACAAAAATTTGTGCTTTGGAAGTCAGAGCTGGCAGTTTGACTATTACTATCCCAGATGTCAGTCATCAAGCAAGGCAGCAAATTTAGCAAGCCAGATTTTCTAGAGGTTGACAGTTAAAATCTATAAAACAGAGTAGTAACCTCTGAGATCTAGGTATTTTTAAGACTCTTTTCGTACAAGTACACTACATAGGAACTATATGGCACACAAAAACAAGCAAAAAAGATGGCCACTATGTAAATGTTCATACAAGTTCTCATGCCAGGCAAAAGAACAAGACTGATATTTTTATAAATGCTTCTTCTTGTCTATAATTTTCTATGAAAAGCTGCTTCTGAACGGCTTTATAGTTCAGAGTTTTGTCTCATTTTGCATCTTTATCAACAGCTCCTTCCTCCCAATTTTATGCCCATATTTGCTTTTAATCAGCAGCCTCTAATTAGAAGAGCCTTCAGTCTTATGGCTATACATAGAAGTTCTATATCTAGCATTGAATTTAAAAATCTATGCCTAATGGGACTAAAATTTACAAAATGGAAAAGAAAAATGTAGATTTTTGACAAATGAAATAATGATGCATGTAACATGTTGTTCCTGTACATCAAAAATTTTATACCCAGCCAGGTTGCCTTCATTTAAAAGGGTAACAATAAAATATTGATAAATTTAAAAGACTCCAGAAAAATCTACATGAACAGTTAACAAACAGATGCAAGGCAATAACGAAATCTCAAGGAAAAGAATAGTGGTGAGCATCAAATCTCTAGTACATTGAAAAAGTGATACAGAGTAGTCAAGTGGGATTCATTCCACAAGTGCAAGAATCATTCAATCTTAGATAGTCTGTTAATATGGTAGATTATTTATCTGAGCTAATAGAGATTCACATATTTCTGGAGTTTGTTGTTATTGTTATGTGTCGTCGAGTCAGACCCAACTCATAGCGACCCCTCCTTGGGTTTCCGAGGCAGTGTCACTACAGAAGTAGGTTGCCCCATCTTCCTTCCAAGGAATGGCTGGTGGGTTTGAACCGCCACCTTTCTGGTTAGCAGTCAAATGCCGTAGGCACTATGCTACCAGAGCTCATTTAATTCCAGAAGAACAGTGTGATAGTCCCAATCTAACACAAGCAAAATGAGAATTTGCAGTAAACACAATATATTTTGTTTTGTCTTCCAATATGGGCTAAGGGATGGGATGTATAATACACAGTTGCGTGATTGTGCTTCTTTTCTTGAAAATAGTTGATACCCCTAAAATATCACTAAGAACTGCCACAACAAGTATGCAGGGGTCAATTGCCATGAAATCCCAGTGACCCACTAATAAGATCAACTTTTACCTAGTCTCTGTTGTACTGTTGGGCCACTTTTGTGAACCATCTGGGGTAACTTCAGAGAGCAGATTCTCCCATCTCAGAAATGCCGTACTGTGACAGATTCCATGGTGAGCTTTCCTAAATGGATGATGAATTAAAAATCCTTTAGCTTTGGTTGTTTAGAACTTTATTATTCAAAGTGGGCTACAGACCAGCACTGTCATTGCCTAGAAGCTTATAGTAATACAGAATATCAAGCTGTTCCCCAAACCAACTGAATTCTAGTCTGCATTTTCACCAGATTCCCAGATGACTTTATATAGAGGTTAAAGTTTCAGAAGCATTGTTAAGATCACACCAGTTCTAAACCCCTTGATAATTTATTTCCCATGTAATTTTTTTTGTCACTGTAATAGTGTAAGACCATGTGTTCATCTCAACAGCTAGTGAAAAAGCATTTGAAAAAATTCCAAATCTATTCTGATTTTTTTGTGATTGCATTTGAAGTTTTAATTTATGTGAGATTGGCATCTTTCTGGTAATGAATTTTATAATCCACACATTAGTGTATTTCTCCATTAGTCTTATATACTATAGCACAGTATAGTATTATAATTTTATTCCTTAGTATTTCTTAAGTTTACACCTAAATAAATATTTTGTTGCTGCTATGAATGACATCTTTATTATGTCATTTATTTTTGACATATAGAAAATTTATCTAGTTCATGTATTCATTTTATAGTTTGAATGATATTAAAGTTTAATGAATTATTAGTTCTAATAGTTTTTCAGTTGATCCTCTTGGGTCATAACCTCTGATTTTTTTTTCTTTAAATCTTAGACTATGTCAATGAATAAATTGATAATTGCCTTAATATAGAAAACTATAAAACTTTGAGGACTTAAAAACTATTTGAGTTTGACTGCTACCTTAGAAAGATGAAATAGATATACCTGTCCCAAATCCTTCTACTAAGTATAACTAAAAAACTCTGAACATTGCATATAAAATGAACCTCACATATTGAAAGATAGAGAAAATAAAGTCACACTTGCTAGAAAAAACTGAGGACCCAAGAAATTACATGGTGGAAAGTTCCCTGGGTTTTCTTTTTGCCCCATATACCCCAGCCTTGGAGCTGAAGAAGCTGGCTACCTGGAAAGGCCAATGGGTACAGATTTAAATAAGTAAAAAAAAAAAAAAAAAAGCCAGCTGTCTCTAGCCAAAGGGCCAGGAAACAGGCAGTCTAGTTTAAGACTGAAAACTCTTAGACAGTAACTGCTCAATTCTAGCCAAACATGACTGAAAAGAACTGTGGCCCACACCCATACCAGCAAAGGCCAAGAGGGAACATAAAACCTTCACCCTTGTGAGCTATAATAAGATACCCAAATACCTGTGTTAGGATGGTGTAAAGAAGGTCATATAGAAATCTAAGACTTTGCATACCCAGAGTGTTAATGGCGACCATATGAGGAGTCTGGAATGCCACCCTCACTAAGTCGGAAGCAACCCTTTCTCTCCTTGCCAAGATGGTATCAGAATGGGCCTAGTGGAACATCAAGACTTTCACCACCACCCTGTGATTTAAAAAAAGAAAAAAGGTACTCTTCTGGTGTCAGTGGAAGTCACATAATGGAGTAGTAATAAGACACTTCTGTCCTCCCTTCCAGGGTGGTATCAGCAGAGGCTTAGTGGAGAGCCACCCCCACCCAACATTAATGAGGAACCCTTCCTTACCTCAGGTGTCGGTGGAAGTCAAGTGGGGATCACATACTTCTCCCCTTACCTACCAATAATGACGTGGTGCCTCCCTTCCCTTGCTGGAAGAGTATCAGAAAAAGTTAGCTAAAATGGGACTAAATAAGATCCAGAGTCTTATAATGCCCAAATTATACATGTTTTCATCAAAATTTATTTATCATTCCAAAAATTAGGAAAACCACGACTTTAGTAAAAGAAGGAAAAAAAGACAATAGATTCCAACATAAAACCCACTCCACTGCCACTGAGTCAATTCTGACTCATAGTGACCAGAACTGCCTTACAGTGTTTCTAAGGCCATAAGTCTTTCTGGAAGCAGACTGCCACACCTTTCTCCCATAGAGAAACTGGTGGGTTTGAAGTGTTGACATTTTGATGAGCAACTGAGCCCTCAGCCACTATGCCACCAGGACTCCTGATTCCAACATAGAGATGACAAAGGTGTTAGAATTATCTGATAAAGATTTTAAAGCAACCATCATGACAATGTTACAAGAAGCAATTATGAACACATTTGAAACAAAGGAAAAAATACGTCTCAGCAAAACAATGCAAAGTCTTAGATTTCTACCTGACCTTCTCTACACCATCCTAGCACAGGTATTTGGGTACCTTGTTTTATTGTTCACAAGGGTGAAGGTCTTATGTTCTCTCTTGGCCTTTGTTGGTGTGGGTGTGGGCTATAGTTTTTTTAGTCATGTTTGGCTAGAATTGAGCATTTATTGTCTAAGAGTTTTCAGTCTTAAGCTAGGAGATGTGAAGAAGAAACAAATAGAAATTTTACAACTGAAAAATGTAATAATAGATATTAAAAAAAAAAAAAAAAACTTCAGTGGAATAGCCCAACAGCAGAGTGGAAGGGACTGAAGCAAGAATCGGGAAAGCAGATGATAAGATGATAGAAATTATCTGATCTGAACAACAGATTGAAAAAATAATGAACAGAACAGGGACCTATGAGACGATAACAGTATCTAACATTTGTGTCATCTGACTCCCAGAAGAAGAGGACAAAGAGGACAGGGCTGAAAAAGTACTCAAATAATGGCTGAAAAATTCTCAATTTTAGCAAAAGACATAAAATCACATTTTCAAGAAGGTACATAAACCCCTAAAAGGATAAACCCAAATAAATCCACTTGAAGACACATCATAATCAAATTTAAGAACACAAAAGACAAAAATTTTGAAAGCATTTAGAAAGAAATGACAACTTACCTATTGGGGAAAAACAGTTCAAATGACAGAAGTTTTCTCATCAGAAAGAAGTAGCATAATATTTTTCAAATGCTGAAAGAAAAACGATCAACTCAGAATTCTAGATTTAGACAAAATATCCTTCTGATATGAAAGGGGACTTAAAGCATTCTGAAATGAAGGAAAATTAAGAATTTTTCACCAAAAAAGAATGGCTACAGGAAGGTCTAAAAATAGAAGACAACAGAAAGAGTAAATATGTGGTAAATACAATAAATTTTCCTAATCTGCTTTACTTTTTAAAATTATATTTGGTGGTTGAAGCAAAAAGTATGTAACAGAGATAAACTAAAAATACTGTAAATATATTAAAATGAAATTTTAAAAACTCTATGTAAATCACAGGAAGGCAGGAAAAAGAAAACAATTTAAAGAGAAAACAAAACCCAAAATGGCTGACTTAGGTCCTAACATGTCAATAATTAAATTAAATGTAAATGATAAACTTTTTTCAGGCATAGGTTTAGTGCTGCTGACCATGAGTTCAGTGCTAACGAATCAACATACTTTTTCAAGTTATCTTTAAACAGAAACATTCATAAAACAAGGTTACATACAGATCAGTTGATGAAAATGTGTGATCAAAGGCTCACAGGAACCTAACCCTATCTTTCTCCTAGAAGCAGTGCTTCAGTATTCATTAATTCTGTGTACATAGTGACTTTATTAGACCAAGAAAAACAAGACTCAGCTGTATATTTCAATAAAAAGGTGCTCATAAATGGCTTGGAATTAATGGAAATCATTATGAATTTAATCTTTCTAGAGATAGTTTTTGTAAATGTTCTTCATAAAAAATTATTGTCAATAGTGATAATATAACAAAGATATTTTGATGAAACATCACTAAACTTTACGTAGAAATATATAAAACTATAAAAGACAATTTTAACAGTCCTGTTTTCAGAGATCCAAGGGATCCAGGATTGCAAATTAGCATCTCATCTTCCTTTCCAGTCTGGGCTACAGTGGACTTTTTGTTGGAGTGAAGATGTTTATTAATCATTACCTTGAAACATCATTTACTGTTACCAGATAATATCAGCACCTGGTTAATCTGTTTGTGTGTTTCAGAGTATTCCATTGTATTATTCCTTCTTGTCACTCAGGACCTTGATAAAATGAAGCTTTCAGTTGGGAAAGTGGGCTAATACCTTGTAACTTACTGCCCTCATTCTGCTTTCCTGAGCTTGGGACAAGCCTCAGCTGCAAGCTGGTACACTCTCTGCCCCAGTTAAATGATAACTTCAGAGATGAAGTCCAGATAAGGTTTGGAGGGCAGTGTCCCAACCCGGTGCCTCCTGAGGTGTACCCTCTTCTTGCACTTTCTGAATAAATTGTGGGAAAATGTTCCTCATAAGTAATTCTGTAATGAACTATTTTCCACAGGCTTTTTGGAAGGGATGTAAACAACGGAAAGCGTATTCTCACAGGCGGCAAATGTTCATTGATAATCTTGCATCTGTTGTAAAGGTAAACATTCTTTACCACTTCATCAAGGGCTTGATTTAAACTTTTTTCCTGCATTGTACTTTTGGTTCCTTGAAACAGTGCTGACTTTGAAATCAGAAGTCCTGGGCTTTAATCCCACCACCACTGTTTACGTAGCTGATCATCTTCAAGCAAGTCGATTAAACCACTATAACCGAGTCAGGTAGTTTATGTGATTATGAGAATGAAAATTGAAAATGCTCAGTAACCAATAAATGCTACTTATCTCAGAAGTCTGGGGAAAATCCAGATTTATTTTATGTTCCTCTTGTTGTGTTAGCTAATAATATTTAGAATGCTCAACTTAAAAGCACAAAACCTTAGTTGTGAGGAAAATTATTCAAAACCAATGACCAGGGGAGTCCGAGCTAATTCAGGACCTGTGTTTGGGTGTTGAGCCAGCCTCACCTGGCTTTCCACCCAAGGCTCATTGTTAAGAGGTCAGAGAGAGAAAAGGAGTTGTGGCGCCCATGCACATGGAAATTACAGAGGACTGAACCGAAATAACTTAATAGACAACTTGGAAATCTATATTATATGAAGGTGGGAATGGGAAGGCTGGGGAGAAGTTGGGATCAGGTGAGATTAGTTTGAAGGCCCTTTTAAACTGTGAGGTAAGAGACTGACATGGTCTACATTCATTGTGCACTAGATCTTTAATGAAATAAGGCCCTGTATTCATCATGGAAGACATGCCTGTTCTCTAATGAGATGTCCTTGGATGTTTTCCTATAAAAACCTAAAGGATATCGGATGCATTTAAAGATATTGGAAGAAACTCTGGTAAAGAGAGTCTTAGTTTATTTGATCACTTGACTCATGTCAACTCTCAGTAAAATGCCTTACCCTCTTAGCTTTTATTTATTGAGATAAAAGCAAATTAGTACAAAGCTACATTACCTCCTCCATCTCTCTCCTGTTAAGGTGGTGAGTTTAAGAGTAATAAGTGGCATTTTTGAACTTTTTAAGAGAAAAAGCAATGAAGTAGAAGATGAAGAGTAGGCTTTAGATAGTTATTATTTATTTAATT